CTGTGGCAACATGAAATTCTAGAAGACCCTGGGAAAAGGTGGGAGTGGATTTGTTTACCTTTAAAGACAAAGGATACACAATAATTGTAGACTATTTTTCCAGTTTCTAGGAGATAGGCTTTTTACCAGACATGGGATCCAGAATAGTCGTATGGAAGATAAAAGCACACTTTGCATGGTGTGGGAAACTGGATATTGTGTGTTCCGATAATGGATCACAGTTTGTTTCAGGAGAATTCTGGAAGTTCAATAAGGATTGGGATTTTGATCACATAACATCTTCAGCAGGGTATCCTCGAAGCAATAGCCAAGTGGAATCAGCCATAAAAACTGCTACGAAACTGGAAAAAAGCAAAAGCTGCAGAGGCTAACCCATACTTAATACGACTAGATCACAGGAATTACTCCCTCAAAAGGCCTACATGCTAATCCGGCCCAAAGACTGATGAGCCAGAGAATGAAGATACTGTTGCCAAGAAGCAGAAGGTTGTCAGAGCCAGGGTATGCAGGTGCTTCACATGGTGAACTACAGAAAAACCAACAGAAAAGACAAATGTGTTACTACAACAGATCTGCAAGAGGTCTGCCAGATCTGGAGCCAGGTGACAAAGTACATATACAACCATTAACAAAACAGACTAAGCTGTGACACAAAGCTACAGTGGTGCAACTAGGAAACCAACGATCATATCGTGTACAAATGGACAATGAATAGATAGTGACGCAAAACTAGGAAAATAAAACAAACCTCTAAGGACAGTCTGAACAACACACATCTTAGGGTTCTACAGCAGGAGGATCCCAAGCCAGAGCTGTTAGAAGCGGGCAATGTTGGGGCATACCAGAGGAAAGACAGGAGGAAGAGGGTGTTTTGATGGAGACTCCAGCAACACCAAACATAGAGACTGTGATTGACCAGACTGGAGGAAAACAGCACCAGGGAGGCACTATTGAACCATATTGTACTAGAGGAGAGTGTATTGTTAAAATACCTGCTTATCTGAGGGATTTTGTGTGATGGACTTCCAAATTGTACATGATATAGCTAGACAAATGGTTAAGGTGGTGAACACAATAACTGCAAGTATGACCAGCATCTGAAAGGAATACATTAGATTACCTTATCAGTTATTCCTGGGGCGTTTGACAATTTTCTTTAAAAGAGAAGGGACGTAACAATATGAAAGTGCTCGCAGACACTCTCATGCAGAATAGTGTTTCCAGAGGGGAATTGCTTGAAAGTGACACCTCCTGGGTAACTGTCTGAAAGGCCATGAGGCTGAAGAAGCCATATTGTAAGCAGCCACAATAAAACTAGTTTGTAAATTAACCCTGTGTTGGAGTGATATCTTGTAGGGCAGATGATCAAAACACAACAAAGCATAAAACAGCATAGCTGGTTGCTGAGAATCCGGGACTGCAGGAGCAAGTCCATCAGCTCTGTGCAGAGAACAATGTGCTTCGGGCCCAATCAGCCACAACACCCCCTGAGCCAGGACCTGTCATTGCCTTCCTAGAATGCTTCAATGGGGATTGTTGAAAATTTTGAGGTTTCAGGAACCAGTGCTGCCTCTTGTTCTTGCTTCACCCTCAAACACGCTCGTCTGTCCAGAGCAGGGGTTGGCAACCTTCGGCAGGCAGCCCATCAGGGTAATTCACTGGCAGGCCATGAGGCATTTTGTTTATGTTGACCATCTGCAGGCACGGTCCCCTGCAGCTCCCAGTGGCCACGGGTCACCGTTCCCCTCAAAGAAGGGGATCAGGTTGGTCTGACATGATCTACCTTTTGTAAAACTATGTTGTATTTTATCCCAATTACCGTTCACCTTTATGTCCTTAACTACTTTCTCTTTCAAAGTTTGTTCCAAGACCTTGCATATAATTGAGGTCAAACTAACAGGCCTGTAGTTTCCTGGATCACTTTCCCCCCCTTTCTTAAAAGTAAGAGCTATATTAACAATTCTCCAGTCGTAGGTACAACCCCTCAGTTTATAGATTCATTTAAAAAAACTTTGCTATTGGGCTTGCAATTTCATGTGCCAGTTTCTTTGATAATCTTGGATGGAGATTATCTGAGGCCCTGATTTAGTCCTATTAAGCTTGTGTTTGAGTTTGACTTCGACTTCCACCTCATATATGGTAATTTCTGCCTCCATATCCTTGTTGCCATTAGCCATCCTGCCACTACTCATAAGCAACTAAAAACTGAGGCAAAGTATTTGTTTAGGTGTTGGGACATGCCTAGATTATGTTTAATCTCCACTCCATCCTCAGTGCTTAGTGGTCCCTCTTCTTTTTTTCCTTGTTTTCTTCTTATTTATATGGCTATAGAACCTTTTACTATTGGTTTTAATTCCCTTTGCAAGGTCCAACTCAGCTTGGCTTTTGGCAGTTCTGACTTTATCCCTACTGTACACTTTGTGACCTCCAAGAGGGAGTTCTCCTTGCTGATCCCTCCCATCTTCCATTCCTTGTAGGGTTTCTGCTTTCTCTTACTCACCTGTTTGAGGTGCTTGCTCATCCAGCTTGGTCTGCAACCCTTCCTTACGATTTTTCCCCCACCCTACCCATCGTCTCTCAAACAGTATCAAGACATTGATTACTCTCATCTCCACTTCATTACTCTGCCAATGACCATCACCCATTAGTACATTTTAAAACAAGCATCTTTGTGCTTTCTACCATGCTGCCTTTCACCTGTGGGAAGATTTCCGTATAAAGTCTGCAAAGCCACCTCATTGTTCTTCCTAAAATCCTTCCTGAAAACTCTCCTCTGCCATGACGTCTGAAAAAACGTCAACAATGGTTATGCAGCTGGTGTGCTTTGACCACTGCTCCTTATGCTGATCAGTATTTTCTCATTGCTACCTTATGCTCTGTCTTCATAGAATCATAGAAGCTTAGGGCTGGAAGAGACCTCAGGAGGTCATCTAGTCCAACCGCCTGCTCAAAGCAGGACCAACCCCAACTAAATCATCCCAGCCAGGGCTTTGTCAAACTGGGCCTTAAAAACCTCTAAGGATGGAAATTACACCACCTCCCTAGGTAACCCATTCCAGTGCTTCACCACCCTCCTAGTGAAATAGTTTTTCCTAATATCCAACCTAGACCTCCCCCACTGCAACTTGAGACCATTACTCCTTGTTCTGTCATCTGCCACCACTGAGAACAGCCTAGCTCCATCCTCTTTGGAACCCCCCTTCAGCTACTAAGTCATATGCCCCAGCCCCCTAATAATTTTCGTTTACCTCCGCTGGACACTCCAATTTGTCCATATCCTTTCTGTAGTGTGAGGCCCCTAAAACTGGACTCAACACTCCAGATGTGGCCTCACCAGTGCCGAATAGAGGGGACTAATCACTTCCCTCAATCTGCTGGCAATGCTTTTATCTACCTGTTGTCTCTTGTTTTATGCCTGGGTTGTGATAAACTCTGAGGCAGGGATTGCTTAGTTTATATGTGTTTGAACTGGTCCTAGAACAATGGTATCCTGCCTAGAGCTGGGCAGAAAATGCTTTTCCTGTCTCATGAATGTTTTTCAGATTTTAGAAATTTTTCTTATCCCAACTCTGGATTTAAAAAGTCAAAATTTCAAAAACATTTGTGAATTTACAATCTGAATTTTCTGGGGGGTCAATCAAGTGTTTGTGTTTTGATATTTCAAAATGGTCCACTTTCAACCATTTTTAATTAAAATAATTATTTGTAGTACAATTAGCTTACATTTTGTACTGAAAAGTCCTTTTGAACAATTTTTTTGTTTTGAAAACACCAGAAGGGGACAACTTGGAAACTTTTTTTTCAACATGCTTTTCAACTCAAGAAATTTGTCAAAACTGGCCCTTTCACGTGAAAAATTTCACTTTCAACAAATCGGCATTTTTAACAACAAAAAAGTTTCATTCAAAAATTCCCAACCAGCTCTGGTCCTGATCCCTGATGAGGATTTCTTAGGGCCATAGAAATACATACAACAATCACTGGCATAAGACCATCATTCCTTTCAACTATTCATTGTTTGATGAGCGCTAGCCAGGTGAAGATCCTCCCAGAACTATATGAAACCCTCAGGGTTTCGAATGAATTTTGTTCTCTGGTTTCTATTCCTGTAGGCCCATAAACCTCTTCCCACCTGACTTTCAGCTCACAAAACCCATCCTTTAAAAAACAAACCAACCAACCTCTTAAAGCAAATTAATAAACCTCCCAAACCCATTGAGTTAAAGTCATGTAAAGCCTCAAGTTTCAAACAGATTCCAAGCAAAAGCTCCAAATCCACTGCAAATCCATTCCTTTGAAAAGCCTGCAAAGCTTTGTTGATGCTTTCACTGAACCAGGGCTGAGCTTCAAATCTGCAATGAACTTTATCACCAGCCAACATTTCCTGGTGAAAGGTTCACAGTCAGTTTGTGCTTTCCATCCCAACAGCTTTCCCCAATGTGAACCTCGGTCTCCAAATGGTGAAAGGCTAATTGCATTAGCCCACTCAGACCCCCAGTGTGTTGAGCACAACGCTCTCTTCATGAAGTGCAGATCCAGCCACGGGAACAATAGTGTCGAGATTGTTCAGCTGAAAGGGAACAATCAAGGATCTGAGCACATACTGTACTGCTGTGCTGAAGCAAGCAAACAATGGCCCATCTCCTACAGGCAGCAGTTGCGCCCGTCCCCTTAGCTAATCACTGGCTTGCTTTTGTCTCCCACAAGGGGTCACTTTATTCTAAAGAGCATCTGGATAGATACTGCACAAAGGATCATAATTATCCACATAGATAAGAGATCAAACCCAACGTGCAGAGTAATAAATAGATCATATTGATCATGAGGATGGAGGGTTGTGGTTCCCAAAGGGTTAGGTTGGGAAAATAATCATGACCCTTCTGCCATGGAAGGCAACAGCAAAACTCCCATTGACTTCAGCGGCAGCATATGGTTCTAACTTGCATCAGTGCCAATGCTTATGTGGGTGAGTATTTATTTTTTTCCTTCTGTCTTTTCAGCGTCCTTGGCTGTTCTCTGTGGCCTGACCCATCCTTCAGAAGATTGCAGAGGAGCTGGGGCCGCATACATTCAGTGCGATGTCCATATCACAGCAGGAGCGTACAGCCTAGCAGGAGCCAGGCCTTACATATACCTGTGTGACGATGACTCTCGGCTGGAGAACAAGACAAAAGTCAACTCATCCCAGCCACTTTTTGCTGGCCTCTTTTTCAGGTTAGCCCTGACTCTATCCCACAGCAGTGCGGGCCTGATGCTGCTCAGTGTCTCCCAGAAGACACTTAGTGTTTGTTTGCAGAGTTGGGCTATGGAGAAAGTGGATTTCTATTTCCTAGGTTGGTGTGTTCCACTGGGTTGTGAAATCCATTCAGCGTGCATATCAAAGCATCTGCCCCCCACATCTTTTAAAGCATTCAAGAGACCTCAGAAAATCCATCTAGTAAACAGCCTGCTTTGTTCCTCTTTAGATTTTAATATTTATCTTCTGATCCAAAGCAACATCTGGCGAATGCCAAGGGGGAAAAGATTAGTCATTATGAAAACCAGAAGGGATTTTTTCCCCCCTTCACCTCTCCAAAGAGATTCATGGGTAAAAAGTCACAGAGGATCTGGCAGGCTGTATGCTGTTTACTCAACAAGGGTGCACAGACAGTTACTGTAGCTTTAGGCTTTGGAAACCATGGGCCAAATTTGCGGGTGTAAACTGGAACTACTCCATTGACATTAATGGAACTATGCCAGTTTACACCTGCAAATAATTTAGTCCTATAAGGTTGTGGGTAGGGGTTGGGAGTGGTGGACAGAAAAGAATAAGAGTGAAACTTTCCCATTTGTTTTTTTTTTTAAGTCCTCCTTCCTAACCAAATAGATAAACAGAACATAACCAGGTTATTGGCCCAAGATTTTCTGTAAAGTATGGGCCAAACTCTCAGCTGATGTAAATTGGCATCACTCCACTGATTTCAGAGGCTCTATGCTGATTTACACCAGCTGAAGATCTGGCCCCATGTTCTCCTGTTGCGAGATACAAGTTAATCAACGGGAGTTACTTAAACCCTGTGGTGAGAGCAGCAGGCATTACAGTATGTATTTAACAAGGAGGACAAGACTGCCATTGTGCAAATGTTTTTCCAAAACCCGAAAACCACATGAAACTAGCCTGGTTTGAGGTTTCTGGGCTTTGAGTCTCCTCTTGCTCACATCAGTATAAATCAGAGTAACTTCCCTGGAGTCAGTTGATTTACATTTGTATAAAGTCAGTGCGGTCAGAAGAGAATCAGATCCTGGGGCAGATCCTGGAGCTATTACTCATTTACACCAGCTGAGGATCAGTGCCATTGTTTTTATTATTTCTGATTTACATAGCACGAGATTATTCTAGACGCTTAACAGACAAAAATAAATACATAGGGTCCTGATTCTTCTCTCCCTTATAGCTGGTCTGCACCTGGGTAATTCCATCAATGTGAATGCTCCAATGGCTCTATGCCTGGTTTACACATCAGAGAAGAATCAAGCCTACCATCCCTACTTTAGTGGGTTTGCCCACACAAGGCACTGGAGAATCAGGTCCTTAGTCAGGGCTTCAGTGTTTGGCTCATAGAATCCAGAAAGGGAGAAAAGACCTTTGAGGTCATCCAGTCTCTCTCCCTGCCAACTCATATAGTTCTGTTATGGCATGCTTTGTCTAGTCTAGTTATAAATGTCCCAAAAGGTGGGGCTACCGTTATTTCCATCTCCATCGACCCAGCAGTGTCTATGTCACCGCTGAAGTCAGCTTAACTGCATCGCACAGAGGGTGAATTTTTTCACAGCCTGGAGTGATTTAGTTAAGCCAGCCTAACTTTGTAGTGTAGACCAAGCCTTCATTTCATCCCATTGCTGCAAGTTCACATCCCTGTTTACTATGCTAAATAGTTCCTTTCTCCATTTGGTGCTTATATAACACTGACAGATCCCAGTCGTCCGTGGGCAGGATCAAACCTGGGGCCTCTGGAGCTAAATGCATGAGCTGTTAGCTAAGGCTGTAGAGCTGACTCAGTCTCTCTCTCTAAGTGGTCTTGGTGCCACCTGATGGGACAGAACACCACACCCAGAAGGTGTGTGGGTTACATACTTCCTGTAGTTGAGGAAGCATGTATTGAGCTTCAGAGACTTCCCAGTTGAAATCCTGGATGAGCCTCCACTTGTAATGCTGACAGACTCCAGTTGTTGTTAAGTGGGATTGAACCTGGGGCCTCTGGAGCTAAATATATGAGCCTCTACTTGATGAGCTAAAAGCCAGCTGGCTATTAGCTGAGGCTGCAGAACAGACTCAATCTCTCTCTCCAAGTGGTCTCAGTGCCACTAAATGGGACAGAAAACCACACCCAGGAGATGTGTGGGTTACACTTACACTCTTCCAATATTATAGATTTGTTATTAGAGCTGGTTGAGTGTTTCCTGACAAAACTTGGCTTGTTGGAAAATGCTAATTTGTGGAACCCGAAATTGTGTGGGAAAGGGTCTGTTATGGAGAATCTCCAATTCCAAAATTGCAATTTGTTGAAATGACCCATTTCAACATTTTCAAAACAAAAGAGTTTCATTTTCCTGTTCAAAATGACTTTGTCTCTCAACTTTAATTTATACTTTAAAAAAGGTTATAAATAAAAAAGGTCACAATTTGAAAGAAAAGCTTCTGAAATTAATGAACCAAAAATTTTGATTGACCTGATCTGTTCTCCCCCCCCCAATTATCTGTTTGTGAAAGTGTTCAATATTTTGACTTTTTATCCAGATTCAGGATGAGAAAAATATTCAAAATTGTGAAAATGTTTGTGGGACTTGATAGCCATTTCCTCTCCAGCTCTAATTGTTGTCTTCCTCTAGTGATTGATTCTTTTCAAACCCCAGTTTCACACTGGCTTCAATGAACTTACTCCTGACTTTCACTAGTGTAACCATGAGGACTGTCCGACCTATGTGTGTTTTAACTCTTAGTGCCAAATCCAGCTTTCATTGACCAGAATGCAAGTTTTGCAATTGATGTCAGTGGGATCAAGATGTGACCCTTAACTTTCAGTTTGTCCCTCCAGCTCTGATTATTTTTGTTGCACTTCTTTAAGCTCTCCACTTCGTTAATCATTGTCCAGCAGTGAGGTGCTCAGAAATGAAGTAACTGTTACCGTTGTGGTTAACCCAGGACTATACAGAGTGTGTCCATTACCCATAAATTAATTCCCAATGTAAAATCAGATTAAACTCCCATTCCTGTCTCTTGCGAGAGCCCCATTGACTTCCATGCAAGCTGGATCAAGACCTTACTTTGTTTATAGCATTGGATATAGACATCTCCCCATAAAAATATTGGCAATTTAAAGGATAAAGTTTTTCCTTGCAGCAGAAATTATGATGCAGTCTTGAAAGATACCCCCAGCCCACTGGATTGCTGTACAGGACAAGAATAGCTCTCAAACTGTTGCTATCAAAAAGCTAATGCTGTTCCTTAAGACTGACTTTGTGTTGTTGATGTGGTGGAGGGAAAGATTTATTTATTTAAATAAATACAAAATCATTGTTAAAATGGCTCCGATAACAAAAACGGTTGGAGGTAACATGCTCTGTATTTAATATACCACCTATTGTGCTAAAAATGGCAATAAAACAAACATCCCCCAAACCCCTGCCATAGCTGATGTCTCCTTGCACTATGGCATGGTTTGAAAACTGCAGATTCATCAATTGGTTGGGATCAGGGTACTCCCAAGCCAGTGAAGGGCCAGATTTTCAGATGGGTTGATTTCACTTGGAGTAAGCCACTAACCCACTTTGGCACTTTTGTCAATCTGGCCCTAGGTGCATCGTAGAACAATGTAGTAGCTCATCTCTTTTTAGCCCCCCATCCTGTAAGTTACATCAGCTTAAACCCTTACCTGTTATTTCTGAATTAGATATGAGAAAAGAGTTTGGTTGTCTCCATCCAAATTCCCAGGGAGTAGATACCCACATCGCAAAAACCACTTCCAAATAGACTGAATTGACTTAGCAGGCTTGATTTGCCATTTTTTTGTACCTTGTGTCACCATTTATAGCTGTGTACAATCGGTTATGATATGACCAATTCAGAGTGGTAAGCATTTTTGAGCGGGTGTAAATGACTGCACAAGGTGAAAGGGGGTGGAGAATCAGGCCCAGAGACTGAGTTGTCTTCTCTGGAATAGGTACGGTACCTGAAATAGGCTGCCTTTGAGTTGAGGTTGATTAGTGCTGCTGCCTGTGTTGGGATGGGTTTGTGGATAAATTGGGGACTTCATTTTTCTGAAATCAGATCTAAATTCACGCACAAATCCACAAACACTGTCACTGAATTTTTTGGGAGAGAAGGCTGGGAAAGGGGGGAGAGTTGGGGAAAGGAATGCAAATTACAGCCAGACATGAAAATGGGACGTCTGCTTCCTGGGCCTCATCCAGAGCTCAGTTAAGTGAACTGGGAGGCTTTCCATTGACTTCAAGGGACTTTGGGTCAGACACTCACAGCTCCCCATAGTAAAAGCTACCAAAGTGAGCAGCTGTCAGCAGCAAGACCCAGTAAGAACACGCTTTACCTATTACCTTTGCTGCTCCTTCTTCTCTCTGTGTGACAGAAGCCTTTGGAGCAAGTGTCTTTGAATAACTGACACATATATCGAATCTGCTTAGTCTGGGCTGTTAAGTAAGTTTAATTAATTTACTAAGTTAATGTTCCAGTGCTAGCAACAAAGCATCATTGCAATCAGCTGGGGAGCAGGAATTGGAACCCTAAATGAGCTCATTTTTTCACAGTTGGAATTAGGGACCAGTTAGCCAGTTGTGTGGTTTTCCAATTTCTCCGCTTGCCCTAAGGGAGTAGCAAGTTATTCATTCCCCATTGCTAAGTGTGAATAAGAAAGGGAAAGGGGGGTGGGGGAATTCAGACAAACCCTACTCGGTGTATGCTTCCATCTTTGATTCTCTCAGTCCTTGTCTGCACTTACCTCCTTCCCTTGGTTCTGGAAGAGCATTTGCTAGCATTTATAACTGTTTTGTGAAGCTGAAAGGCATCACTGAGAGATCTTTACTGCATGTATTGTCATCAGGAGGGTTTGCAGATAAAGGGTGGGGGGGAAACAAATAAACAATAAAAGAATGGAAACAAAATTACAGAAATTTGCAAAGTTTGACAAATGGTGGGCAGGAGTTGCCACAAGCTAATGGCTTGCAATGATTAATAAGAGTAAAAATAATTGCATTTCATTAAGATTGATGACACCCCATTTAACCTCCCTTCTCGTTTCAGCCCTAAAGTGGAAAGAGATGAAGTTCTCATCTATAATAGCTCCTGTAACATTACCATGGAAACTGAGGCAGAGATGGAGTGTGAGGGAGCTAATCAGCCAATTACCGCCAAGATTACTGAGATATGGAAAAACTGGGGCCAGAACACTCAGGTATAATCAAATCTTTTTTACAGACTGATTCAAACAGCTTAAAATTAAATTTGTAATATTGTGTACATTTAAAGGGGGGAAAAAACAATTTAGGCTGAGTAGTGGCAATATATAATATTAAATGCTCTCCAACTTTGAATAGCAGTTCTAATGCACAGCAGATGAATTAATGGTTAACTATGGTTAATCACATATTGATCAAATATAAATGAGGGCTGCCTTGTTTCCTTTAACTTCCTTTATAGCTTGTCTTTTTTTTTTAGACTCTCTTTCTATGTACAAATGCCAGTTCTGTTCCTAATGTAGTTTTCCCCTTATCTACGTCCCTTTGTCAATGATCCCAGCTCAGGAGACTACGAGTTCTAAGTTTCCTTTGGAGCCCGAACACTAAGCAGTGGTTCGGCCCAAATAATCTCTTTTGATCCATTTGTTTGTACCCGTTTGCTATTTGAAAGATGGGTCGGTGTGTATGAGAGAGAGAGAGTGTCCTAATCAGGGAACAAAATTTATCCCTTCTGCCCTTTTTAAAAACTCTCTCAATTTTAATTTTGCAAACCTGTGAGGCACTTTCTTGATCTCCCTTCAAAATCTCAAGGGTGTGAAGTGGTAGAGAACACTATAGATGAAACAAATTCATCATAGCTGCTGAAGTGCAGGTGGAGAGTGGAGAGTTTGGTAAATGTAAAATGTCTCCTCACCCTTACCCTCACCCTGAATGTTATTTGCTCGTAATTTCCCAAACAGACTGTATGGGGGTGTCAGGCTGTGTTCAAAGCTACTGTTCTCATGATGGTGGGAATGGCAGAGCTGTGTAAGCATGTTTGCAACACATTGATCTGATTCACTTTGCATGTGCGCTGGTGTAATACAGGAGTAAGTCTTTTGGAGTCGGTTGAGTTATAGCCATGTAAAAACTGGTGTGAGAGGAGGCAGACCCCTCAATCCACTCAGCAACATCAGCTGTGCCTTTTATGCTTCATAAATCCTCAGATAAACAGAGTATCATGTAATCTACTGAGCATGGATGAGACCTAGAAAACAGAGGTCCTGTTTGCTCTGAGCTGATATTAAAGATTTTGTGGTAACTTTTAACCCTGGTGTCCTTGGCTGAGATTTCCACCTCCCTATCATTATGCATTGTGCCATCCTCCACCCCAGAAGGAGCTGCACTGCCATGGCCTACTGATTCCTGTATGTATATAGAACCAAATTCTGAAGTCCTTATTGGGTCAAAATTCTCTGAATTTGGCCTGTTTGTAATGCTCTTTTGGATGAAGGGTGCTAGGGTTATTACTACAGCTGAATCTCTTAAAGTGATATTGTTACTTTTCACTCCCTTAAAACATTTTAATTTGGTTATTGCTCATTGTTTTAAGACTCAGTCGAGGCCCATAGGTTTTATGTAGCCTTCTAGAGGCCAACACTTTCTGTCCCTATTGATGATGTCCACTTTCATGTTGGCAACCATGTTTCCCTGGGCATCTAGCCCTTTGCGAGGGCCAGGATGACTCCCCCTTTTTGTCGTTCTGTTTACTTCCTCGGCTGTTAATCAGCCTGACTAATCATAATATCAGTAGTTTGCACAGCTAAGGGAAACCATTTTAGGTCAGCACTGCTGTGGGGCCAGCAGGGTGACCTCTTCAAACCAATGGTTGTCCACGTGGCTGCTGCTCTTTTTATTTGTTTTTTTTCCCCTCCCCTAAATGAAATGCAGAACTCATTCCCAAGTGTATCATAAAGCACAGGCTACGGTTTATATGAGCTACTGGGGGCCACTGGATGGCATCACACCTGCTCCATGACGCACTCAACTGTGTGTCATAGACTCTGTAGTCCCAACACTGAGAACAGATGGTTCTTTAACTGGAGTGCTTGAGGCCTGTGCTTTGGGAGCAAGAGGAGGATACAAGTTCTGTCACCGCAAGTGGCTGTGCTGTGCAGCATAGTGAAAATCATGAAGTCCTGGGTGGCTTGAACAAACCGAGGGGGGAGATGTGCAGAAACAAGAATGCTTGGGTTTTGGTTCTGCTTAATGAATCCAGTGGTGTTTTGGAAGTAAGCTTCATTTTATCAATCTCCCCCAAATTCGTGGGGTGATGGGGGGGGGGAGGGAGTTCAGATAAATGGTTTTAATTTTGGTCCTTTTCTAGTTGACAGCATCCTGTTAAGATTTATGACCCACTGCAGCTTATGCATGCTTCATGATAGAGGTTTAAATCATGTCATGTGAACTGGCCTTGCCTTTCCACTGGAAATAATGGTCCCCAGCTTCAATACCAGACAGTAAAATGCATTAACAGCATCCTGTGTATTTGGATAATGGCACTATTAACAAGCAGCACAACATACCATAGCAGTAACAGGACTTTGCCACTTTATAGTAAGACCTTACGCTTCCATTGCACCTTTCAATTGAGGATCTCAAAACACTTAGCAGATGTTGGGGCTGATCCTCAGCTGCTGGAAATCTGTGTAGCTCTACTGACTTCATGGTCTGCTGATGTACTCCAGCTGAGTATCTGGCCCTTTATAACAATTATCTTATTTATATTGTGGGGAATACCTAGATGCCCCAGTTGTGAACAGGGCCCCATTGTGCTGCGTGCTCGGCAGACACACAGTAGGAGACAGTCCCTGCTCCAAAGAACTTAGAATTTAATATGAGGCAAGATGCAACAAATAAGCGTGACAAACAGAGGCAGGGAGGAGAAGGAGGGCAATAAAAATAAGGTCATGAGGTTGCAGGGGTAGCTGTTAAACAATTTGGTAGTTCACGATGGCTCCAAATATCTCTTTAGTGAGGAAAGATCATCTAGTGGTTAGGGTACAAGCTTAAAAGATTTGCATTCAAGTCCCTGCTTTGCCACAGATCTCCTGTGCCTTGGGTAAGTTGCTTAGCCTTTCTATGCCTCAGTTTCCCATTTTTAAAATGGGGATAATAGCATTGCCCAGCACCCTGCCTTACAGGGGCATTGCAAGGTGAACTACGTTAAAGATGGTGACGTGCTCTGCTATTATGGTGATGGGGGCAATGTAAGTGCAGGAGAGATTTGTAAAATTATTGGTAAATTAAATCAGCTGATCCTGCATGAAGCTGGGAGAAAAATATCAGGCATCCTTCCTGGAAAAAGCTTCCGCATTTTCCTACCCGTTCTACTGATGCATAAGCAAAACAGTCATTGATTGGTTGACTCCGTGTAGGTGTCACAGCAGGGATGGCCTTGAAGAGGGATTTGATGTAGTCTTGGATGGAGTTCCTACTGATCAGCTCAAAAGGAGCATTCCAAGTGTAATGGGGTTAGGGGCAGGGGTATTTTAAATGGGACCCTGATCCACCCTAACTTATCTTGGTGGCATGAGACGCAACCTGTGTCTCCCTGCTCCCAGCATTACCCAGAGGAACAGGCTAGGTTTAGTTCCCTGCCTGTAGGACCAAAGGACTTTCTTCCCCTGATCTACCTAGTGAGACTACACCTGCAGGCCCCTGCCTACTGGGTCTCCAGAATACTCTGGGGTTGGGTTTAAGGCTGCAACCCAACTATCCTCCCTCCTGAGGGACCTCACCGCTGCTCGTGAGATCCCAGGACTGAGCCTGAACAATGGAAACTATGACGAAGAAGCTTCCAAATCACTTGGCGCTCTCTTCACGGTACCTCCTTCCCAGTTACTCCTCTTAACTGTGTCAGATCTATCTGTGAGGTGGAGCGCTCCTACTCACTACTAGACAGACTCCCAATAAGTAACATATCCCTAACTGGAGTAGTAACTTTATACTGAATTAAATTGTTAAAAAGGGTGCACATGCAAAACATCAAATCGAACAAAACAGATTTATCTTTCTCAGGAACAGCCTAAAAATGGGAGAAAACTTAGCAGGTTTCAAAATATACTAAGCAGTTGAAAGATGGTAAAATACACTGAAGCAATCCTTACACTACTTCCCACACCCAGATGGACAGACATGATAAAGTATTTACTCTAGATGAGTACACACATACAAAAACACTTTTAACAGTAAGTGTCTCTTTTGTGGGGTGGTGAAACTTGGCTCTTTGGTTTGATGGTTCCAGAAGGGTATCTGATAGGAATAATGCCCTGCCCACCTGGTTATGGCTTCACTCAGATTTCCACACAAATGATCATAGCAGTGTTTTGAGCCCCCTTTCCTCTTTTTGTGCAAGCCCCAAGTCTTCTCCTACAGAGACCCTGGTTTGAAAGGTCACTAGATGCTGCTCCCCAGTATGCTTGAGTGAATGAAAGAGACCCATCTCCAAAGTGGGTGAATGCACCAGGGAAGCGGTAGTCAAGGGTAGGACCTCTGAGCTCCGCACTGCTCTGCCTGCTGCGAGGCAGGGCCACCGTCATCTGGGCTGTGCATTGCTCACACAGGGCTTTGCCCCAGGACTGAACCGGAAAATCTTCCGTACAACCAACTGCAGTTACCCCACAGTACTTGCCACCTTCTCCCTGGCTCAGGGGGTGCCAGGAACACCCCAAACTGAAGCTGTTCATGGCTCCCTGTGCAGCTGATCTCAGGACTGTGTGGTGGTGGGTTACTCCACTCACTTGCCTTTGCTGGCTCTCTGTGGTTCTCTCTCGTTCCCTTATTGTGTGTCTCTGACCTCCCTGCCCACTCCCTACAGCTCCCCATCTCTGGTGCTGTTGTTCACTCACCTCTGCTGGGCCTGTCACTTGTTTAGTGCGTAGGGTTGCCAGGCGTCCGGTTTTTGACCAGAACGCCCGGTTGAAAAGAGATCCTGGTGGCTCTGGTCAGCACTGCTGACCGAGCCGTTAAAAGACTGGTTGGTGGTGCAGTGGTGCTAAGGGAGGCTCCCTGCCTGCCCTGGCTCCATGCTGCTCCCGGAAGCGACCGGCATGTCCAGCCCCTAGGCGCAAGGGCGGCCAGGGAAGCTCCGTGTGCTGCCCCCGCCCAGAGTGCCAGCTGTGCAGTTCCCATTGGCTGGGAACTGTGGCCAATGGGAGCTGTGGGGGTACCACCT